GCAGCCTGTTTTGGATGCGAGGGCGCGTCGCGGGAGCCACCGCGACGACGTCCGAGGCGCCGCGGCTCAGCCCAGTCGGGGCCGAAGCGCCCGCGGCAGCAGCCCCCGCGGCGGCCGGGCAGCCCCAGTGCGAGGAGGCTCCGCTGGCAGAGGCGGAACCCGACGGGTGCCATCCAGGCGGGGCGCTGCCGCTCCCCGGCCAGGAAGAGATCGATAAGCGCGAGCTCGCCCACCTGCCACCGAGAAGCTGGTGCGATAAGTGCGTGGCAGCCAAGGCGGCAGACGACCCGCGCCGACAGGGCGGTGGGCCTGGCAGCACCGACGAGGTGCAGATGGACCACCTGCAGCTCGCCGCCGCGGTCGCAGCCGAGGAGCTGGCGGCCTCAGCCGACAGCGAGGCGTGGGTGGCATCAGCGGATCAGCAGATTGACCAGGCCGCCCTCGTGCCCCAGCTGGTGGACCCCGTCGCTGGCGACGGCGTGGAGGTGTTGCTCAACGTGCTGGTGATGGCGCGCCGTCGGTCTACTGCAGTGCGCGCGGTCTTGGGGCCGAAGGGCATGCATCCCTTCATATCCACTGCAGCGAGTGCAGTCATCGACGCTCGGGGCATCGCGGAGTGCATCCCGCGCACCGACCAGGAGCCAGCAGTTCAAGCGCCGGCCGTGCAGATCTCCGAGGAGCGGAAGCTGGAGGGCTTCAAGTGCCAGCTCGCAGCGGCGCCTGCCAGGAGTCTTTCACCGACGGGCTTCATCGAGGCCATGAACGATCAAGTGGCCAAGCAGGTGCGCGTGATCAAGCTCTAGCTCGAATCGGGCATGGGCGCGCGCATTCCCGTGTTCCACAGGGTGATGCCGTGGGTGATCAGGCATGCGGGGTGGCCCCTCGCACAGTTTGCCTTCAGACAGGCCTCTGGCAAGACGGCCTGCCACGTCACTCGGGGCAAGCCGTGCCGAGGGGAGGCGGTCACGCTCGGAGAGGTCGTCTGGGCCCGAGTGCCAGGCGACCGCACTCAGAAGGCAGAGGCTCAGCGACGCTTGGGTGTCTGGCTGGGCAAGACCGAGGAGGGCGACGAGCACGTGGTCGGCTGGTCGCGGCAGACCAGCCGCCACCGCGCGATCAGGGGGCAGCCGAAGGAGCGGAGGTTCAACGGGGACGCGCTGAGCAGCTTCGCGGGCTTGCCTTGGGATCTCCAGTCCAGGCCCGAGCGCGCGGACGCCGCGGCAGAGCAGCCCTGGGGAGGCGCCGAGCCCCACCATGGTTGCAACGTGGCGAGGGTGCGCCAGGCGCAGGCGCAGCAACGCCAGACCGAGGAGGCGCTTCCAGCGGCAGCAGCAGCAGCTCCAGCGGCGGAAGAACCAGCGCGCTGTCTCCAGGACCTTTGGGCGCGCCGCCAGGACCCCCACCCGAGCCGAGGCTCGGATGGACCACCTACGTGGCGAAGAGGACGGTGCAGACCTACGGGCCCACCTTGCGCTGTCCGAGGTGCTGGGGAGGCGACGCGGCGCACTCCCGCGAGTGCAGGAAGCGCATAGAGGGGGAGCTCCTGGACGAGGCGAATCGGAGTCGGCAGGCAGCGGCCCGCCCGTTGCCAGACGACGCCATCGCAGCCCCTGCGATGGAGGTGGATGCGGCAGCGGTCGACCCCGCAGCCGCGATGGCAGCAGCAGCAGGTGGCGCAGCAACCTCGGCGAGTTCATCCCAGCCACCTCCTGCAGAGGGCGGCTCAGCGGGCGACTCCGCGGGGATGGGCGTAGACTCGGGGAGCCGACCAGCAGCTCCCGCAGACGGCGAGCCACGCTTGAAGGCGCCCAGGGTGGCCAACCTTGTGGTGCCCGTGGACGCCAGTGAACCCGCCCACTTGGGACTCGACGGCGAGGACTGCGAGCGGCTGCAGCTGTTCGCGGCATGCGTTCGCGACCGGGAGGCTCCGGCAGCGTGGGCCTACGGCCTCGTGCCAGAGGCGGCGGTGCACGACAGCCGCGCGGGCGAGATGCCCCCGAGTGAGCTCGCGGTGCAGGGGCGGCAGCAGGAGCTCAACCAGATGGCCGCGTTCGGCGTCTACGAGGACGCATCCGACGATTCGAGTGCAGGCAGGTGCATCTGGAGCAAGTGGTGACGGGCGCCGGCACAGGCCCGACGGGGCGCCATTCGTGCGATCGAGACTCGTGGCCATGGACTTCAGACTCTTCGAGCGCAACGACGCGGCAGCAGGTTCGCCGCACCTCTTCCACTTGCGCTTGGTGGTGCCCCTGGCTGCCTCGAAGCCCCCATCGGGGCAGAGGCAAGTAGCTCTGTGCGATGCCAGCGTGGCGTTCTTCCTCGCGAACATGGACGAGTGGTCGCGCGTGATGCCACTGCCAGGGCTGCGTCGGCCCGGGAGGGTCTGGCAGCTTCACGAGGCGCTCTGCGGCACCAGGCCTGCGTCGAGGTTGTGGCAGGAGTACGTCGGCGTACGTCTTCGAGAAGAGTCAGCCACCACGGGCTCGGATCGCGCCGCGCCCTGGCGCCTTCTACAACGAGACGTCGGACGTCGCGCTAGACGTGCACGGCGACGACTTCGTGGCTAAAGGCATCTCGGTGAAGCTGGGCGGGCTCGCTCGACGCGTTGCCGGATGAGCACATCGAGATCAAGAAGTTTGGTCGACTGGGGCCGGGTGCCACCGGCGGCGGCCACGGCAGGCTGCTCAAGCGACGCATCGAGTGGCGGGCGACTCCGTCTCCTCGCTTCGTGGAGAGCAGATGGCTCGCGCGTGGACAACCCAGGACGTGCCGCAGGTGCAGTACGCGGCAAAGATGATCATGGTGGAGGCGTCGAAGCCTTCGCCACTCGCTGAAAGTCAGATTCAATCGTGCTGCACGGTAACTGGCGGGGTGCCCAGTGACTGAGTGGCACTACCCGTTGCAGGACCTCCCAGTCGCAGCGGACGTCGAGGGCGACGGCGACTGGGCAGGAGCGGATGACGCGAAGTCCACGCAGTGCACGGTGATGATGTTCGGGGACCACCTGCCTCGAGGTGACGACGTCAACGCAGGGCTACGTGGCGACGTCAAGCGGGGTGGCAGAGCTCATAGCTATCAATAGGGCGGGTGCCTCCGCTATCCTGTTGCAGCAGATCCTCGCGCTGCGCGGGATCCACGCGCGGGGAGTTGCCGGCGCGGACAGCTCGGCCGCGAAGGGGATGGCGGGCAGAGGCAACGGCTGTGGGCGACGCATGGATGATTATATTCGGGGTCAGATTCGGACGGGCGCGGGGGACTCTGTCGGCCGCGGAGATTGCACTTCCGCCCCGCCCCCCCGCGCTACGGGACTGCGAAGCCGCGCCGGCCGAGGCGTGCGCCGGCGCCTGCTGGAGCGAAGCGCGAGCGAGGCAGCGGCGCAGGAAACCGAAAGCCAGGACGGGCTCGGCTTCTGCCGTCGTTCGCCGTTTTCAGTCAGGAGATGAGCCCATGCTTTTTGAAATGAACACACGTATGATTCGCAGCATCAGGGCGCGTATTTGGCACGCCTGGCGCACCTGGCGAACCTAGCGCACCGGGCGCCCCGGGCGCGCCCGACGCACCTGGCACACCCAGCGCACGCGGCGCCCTCAATTGGCGCCCTTGGCGCATCCGGCGCGCCCGGCGCACTCGGCACGCCCAGCCACACCTGGCGCACCCAGCGCGCAACCAGCACATCTGGCGCGCCCGTCGAATCCGGCGCGCCTGGCGCACCCGCGCACCCAGCGCACCTGCTGGCGCACCCGGCGTTCCCGGCGCACCTGGCGCACCTGCGCCCAGAGGACCCGGCGCACCTGGCACCCAGTGCACCAGGCGCACCCGGCACACCCGGCGCGCCAGGCGTATCCAGCGCAACCAGCGCACTCGGCGCACCCAGCACGCCAAGGGAACTTGGCAGCCCGTATCAGAGAGTGTTATGGAAAGGCGAAAACGCCAAAAGTTCCCAGACATCTGACGAAAATCGATGGTTGTGGCCTCTCGGGGCCCTCTTGGGAGGCCTCGTGGAAGCTGGGGCGTCTTGGAGCCCTCTTGGGCCGTCAGGGGGCCATCTTGCACGTTTTGGACCAATCGTTCGGCGGATCGGAGCCCTCTTGGACCGTGTTGGGGGTCTCTTTGGTCCCTGCTGGCCCGTCTTGGGGCCCTCCTGGTTCCGACAATTTCTTGCGACACGCCCCGACGAGGCGCGCCAAAAACCACGAGATACTTTGGGAAATTTGGGCCTTGGGCTCCTCGCAGTATCTTCAGGAGCGGGGATGGCCATCAGGAGCGAAAAAAGGACGTACACGTACATAAATCCACGCTGGTTTCGAGATTTCGTATTGCGCGAATGTTCGTATCACGCGGCCGGTCTCGCGGGCAAGGGGCCGTGTTCATGTATAGTTGGGCGCGTACGTCTTTTGTGGGCTCCCTAGTTCAGAGGGTTGGGCTAAGGACTCGAATGCACTCACACTCCGTGGCTGCGGCGCAGTGGCGCGCATATGTTTTCAGCGTATGTTTGTTTGTTTTCTCTCTCTCTCTCTCTCTCTTTCTCTCTCTCTCTCTCCTTGTTTTTCTTTATATCTCTCTCTCTCTTTCTTTATCTCTTTCTCTCTCTCTTTCTCTCTCTCTCTCTCTCTCTTTATGTCTTGTTTTTTGTGATTTTCTTTTTTTTTTTTCTCTCTCTCTCTCTCTCTCTATATATATATATATTGTTCTCTCTCACTCTCTCTCTATTCATATATAAATATAAGTGACCCACATCGTATCAGCATAGACAGGGAGTGGTGCATACCGTCTCGCCGTCAGATCTGCCATGCCTCGTCCTCTTCCCCCTCGCCGCCTCATGCTCTGGCCGCCGCCTCTTCTCCCCCGGTTCCTCAGGTTCCTCCTTCCCTTTGTCCCCCCCCCTTTGTACCCCCCCTCCTTGTCCCCCCCCCATCCTTTTCCCCCCCCTGTTTCCCCCCCCCCCCCCCTTTCCCCCCAGGTCCCCCCCTTGTCCCCCCCTCTACCCCTTTCCTCCCCAGGAGGACGTCAAGATGCTGACGTCTCCATACGGGTCGGTGCAGGATGCTTTGCGTGTCTCTTCGTCTCCCTGTCTTTCGCCCTCTTTCAGCCTGGGGTTCGATAGCACTGAACTCGACGTAGTTCCTCAGTGGGTTCGTCGCGGAGTCCAGCACCTGGAACCGCGCATAGTGATTGGGCATAGCAGTATCAGATCGACCGACCCTCGACACATCTACATCTAAAGCTAGCTGCGTGGTTTGCCCAAGCATGTGCGCGCCTTGGGTTCGATGACATGGGAGCGGATTTGCTGGACGCCCCCTCTTCAATCGCGGGTAGCGCAGAACTGTTTAGTCGCCCGCGCCCAGGACGTGTTCCAGTTGTATTCGGCATTGAAGGGGGTAGCAGTGAGAGGGGGGTCCAACGAGTTCGAAATCAACCAGTTTTGGAATGAAACTTGTGGGGGGTGGCGGCATGGGGTGCTCGTAATGGCTATAAAAGTTGTGGTCGTTAGCAGTCTGCTCGATGTTCCAACTCTTTGTCGAAGTCTTCTCGTTACTTACGCTCGGGCTCACATTTGATCGTTCACTTGCAGCAGCTATGCCCCATGGGAGCGTTCCAGTCAAACAGATACTCTGAGTGGTCCTGTAACTTACCGTATTCTTATTGTTTTGCCGATCGGCGCGGGCCCTCGCACCCCCTCCCCCCCCCCACGGAGTAGATCTTGGCTGTTTTGGGGGGCCTGTTTCAATCAGGTGGAGTCTCCCCCGTAGGACGCACTGTTGCAAAGCTTCGCGTTACGTAAGCAGAGGTCAGGAGTCAGACCCCTCCCCTCCCCCCCTCCCCGCTTTCCGCCCAATGCCGAAACGCCGAATCAGAACACGTTCACTGATTGCTCGAGACAGCTGCTTGTCCCCCCCGGAAAGGTCGGCGATCGGTCCTCAGTATATTTTGGAGCACGCCACGCCGTGGTCAATCGGGAGTTTGAGACACCCGCCGACGCTCCCGCGGCCGCGGTGTCTGCCGACAGGCGCCCCTCGAACGGCTTCCGAGAACTTGTTTTAAGTCGGGCACGTCCCTCCACAGGAGGAATCTTCAAACATAGTTTTAATCATAATCTCTGGGTACGATGTTTCACTCTTTTTGGCCATTTGGGACTATGATTTGACTTTGTTATTGTTCGTCCAAAATCTAGTTCACAATCCACATGGGTCACGGCGCCAACATCGCAGGGCGGATTTCGCTCAGAAGGCAATGGGATGGGCCCGGATCGTCCTGGAGAAAGTCGTTTTGGATTTCGAAATAATTTCGCGCGGCTTCTGTTTTTGCCAGAAACGATTTCAAAACATCCACGTGAAATTCACTTCGATTTTCGCTCGCCGTTTCGGGGTTTTGCATTGACAAAAGCCACGCAAAAATCCGTTCCAGCACGTCTGCAAGGCCGGTGCAGTGACATGGGCGACGCAGAGGAACGGGGTCGTCTGCGCCGACATTTGCGCGTAAGCTGCTCGCGTAAGCTCGCGTGTAGGCGCCCTCGTCTCCAATCTGGTGTGCTGCGCTGGCCGCCCGTATGGGCCGCCGCATCGCTACGCCATCTCGCGTAAGACCCGTTTGTTTCCGTCGTTCCAATGGCCTTCATGTAAACGGAATGGAATAACGACGCGAGCGGCACGTTCTTCAGTGGCTGCGTCGCGTTAGTCCAGCACCTGCAACCGCGCAGAGTACGTAAACAAGACCATCGAAGCGAACATCCCCGACAACTTCTATCTCTAAAGCTGGCTGCGTGGTGCGCCATGCATGTGCGCGCCTTGGACTTGATGTTGTCGAGCGCGTTTGCCAGACGCCTCCCTTTTCTCGGGTATCGTAGAACTGCTGACTCGCCCCCGCCCGGCAGGCCTTTAAGGTTGATTCGATATTCACGGGTGGCGTCATCGAGAAAAATGGGGCTTCAACAATTTGGGATGATGAGTTGGTCGAGGGATGTGAGGGCAGCGAGGGGGCCACGAAGGGCTGCAACGGGGCCACGAAGGGCAGCGAGGGGACCACAAAGGGCTGCAACGGAACCACGAAGGGCAGCGAGGGGGCCACGAAGGGCTGCAACGGGGCCACGAAGGGCAGCGTGGGACCACGAAGGGCTGCAACGGAGCACGAAGGGCAGCGAGATCCCGATTCCTAAATAACATGTGATGGAGTCCTGAGCGTGAGCGCGGCGCTTGAGCAAATCGCGAGAAATTCTAACGCAAGGGCGCTATTCTGCAGTAAAGTGCAAGCAAGGCTCCAGCGAGAGCGCAACTCCAGAGCGCCGAGAGAGCGATTCTTGAATAAATTGTCAAGCCCCAAGCGAGAGCGCGATTCCTGAATAAATGCAAGGAAGTTTCAGGCGGGAGAGGGAATCCTGGCTAACTTGTGAGGAAGTCTCAGGCGGGAGCCGTTGTTGTTGCAACCTGGGGGCCAGGGGCACAATTTGAGCCTCAAGATTTTCCCTGATAAAAAACAGGGTGCGAGCGCCAGAAGGGGCATTTCAATAGGAAAAATTCAATACACCAGAGGATGGATCAACAATAATTATTCTTCAGTAGTGAGAGTTCAACGCAACAAGCAGAATTCCCACCACGAATTCCTTATTCAGCCACGCGCCCAGGGACAATGAATGACCGTTCGGCCCCTTCAGTCTGATACATATATTAAACATATGTATTCATATATATATATATATTTGTATGCGTGTGTATATATATATATATATGTAGAACTATATATACACATACATGTACATACACACATGTATGTATGTCTGTCTGCCTGTCGGTCTGTCTGTCTGTAGGTAGATAGGTAGGTATGCATGCATGCATGCATGCATGTATGTATGTGTGTATGCATGTATGTGTGTATGTATGTGTGTCTGTCTGTCTGTCTGTATGCATGCATGTATGCATGCATGTATGTATGTATGTGTCTATGTAATGTACTGTAATGCAATGTAATGTCATGTAATGTAATGTAATGTAATGTAATGTAATGTAATGTAATGTAATGTAATGTAATGTAATGTAGTGTATGTATGCATGTATGCATGTATGCATGTATGCATGTATGCATGCATGTATGCATGCATGTATGTATGTATGCATGCATGCATGCATGTATGCATGCATACACGCATGTATGCATGTATGTATGTGTATGTGTGTATGTGTGTATGTGTGTACGTGTGTATGTATGTATGTATATATGTATGTGTGTATGTATGTATGTATGTATGCATGCATGCATGCATGCATGCATGCATGCATGTATGCATGATGCATGCATGCATGCATGCATGCATGCATGTATGTATGTATGTATGTATATATGCATGCATGTATGCATGCATGCATGCATGCATGCATGCATGTATGTATGTATGTATGTATATATGTATGTATGTATGTATGTACATTGATATGCCCCTGGGGGGTTGGGCCGCGGCCCAAAAAACAGCTGCCTCGACCCTCCATGGGGGGACGGGGGGCCCTGGAGCCTCCCTGGAGCAGCCAAGACGGCCTCAGAGTGCCCCAAGAGCGCTCAAAGCCAGGCCCCGAGGGCGCCCGTACGCCCAAGATGGCCCCACGATTGCCCCAGAGGCCCCCAAGACCGCCCAAGGCAGGCCCGAGAGCCTCCCCAAGAGAGCCCCCGAGAGGCTTAAACTGTTTAATTTCTTGTGGGGAAACCTACAGTTTTGACATGCGCGACGTTTTCGCTTCCCGACGCCCCACGGCGGCCCCCGCAGCACACAAGACCGCCCCGAGACCGCCCACGAGACCCCCCCAAGACGCCCTCAAGAGGCCCCGATGGGAGGCCCTGGAGCCTCCCTGGAGCAGCCAAGACGGCACCAGAGTGCCCCAAGAGCGCTCAAAGCCAGGCCCCGAGGGCACCCGTACGCCCAAGATGGCCCCACGATTGCCCCAGAGGCCCCCAAGACCGCCCAAGGCAGGCCCGAGAGCCTCCCCAAGAGAGCCGCCGAGAGGCTTAAACTGTTTAATTTCTTGTGGGGGAACCTACAGTTTTGACATGCGCGACGTTTTCGCTTCCCGACGCCCCACGGCGGCCCCCGAAGCACACAAGACCGCCCCGAGACCGCCCACGAGACCCCCAAGACGCCCTCAGGAGGCCCCGATGGGAGGCCCTGGAGCCTCCCAGACAACCCAAGAGCTCTCCAGGACGGACCCAGAGAGTCCCGAGACGGCTCTCCAGGCCGCCAGCGGGTCCCAAGAACGCCCCGAGACGCACCCGAAACGCCCCCAAGAGCCCCAGAATGGACTTGGACGGCCTCATAATGGTTCCCAAGAGGCCGACTCTCGCTGATAAGACGCCCCCCAGGCGCCCCCAAGAGCCCAATAGTAGTCCCAGACAGTTTCAAAACGGCTCCCAAGTGGCCGTGCTTCGCTGTCGGTGGAGCGGACTGGAATTGAGGTACGGTGGGTGCGTCCGTTTGGGAACGTGGGTCCGGGTATCGGTGTCCGCCGACAATTACGAGCCATGAAAGATGAGCCAGCAATTGTGCACAGCGCGTTCCGGCAGGGCCCTTCCGGAACACGCTGAGGGAAAAGGGAAGTCAGGAATAGGAGGAGGAGGCGGAGGAGGAGGAGGAGGAGGAGGAGGAGGAGGAGGAGGAGGAGGAGGAGGAGGAGGAGAGGGAGACACAGCAGGAGGAAAACGCGGAAAAGAGCACGAGGATGAGGAGAACGGAGGGTGGCAGGAGAACAGGAGCAGACGGGAGAAATTGAAGGAGGACGAGGGGTATTTGCAAAAGGAGGAGGAGGAGGAGGAGGAGAACGAGGACTGGCAGGACGTGAACATCAAGAGCGGAGGGGACGAGGAGGAGGCCGAGGAAAAGGGAATACATAGTAGGAGAGCAGGGGCAGGAGCAGGATCACAGGGAGACGAGAAGGAGGAAGAGCAGGCGGAGAGGGGGCAAGGAAGCCAGGAGACTCCTGAAGCTGATAACTATGATGCTCCAGCCGATCCGCTTGCTCCTCTCCTATCCGAGCTCGCATTCGCAATCGGTCAGTCTGCGCTAGAA